CAGCGCTTCTTCCTGATTTCTTCCTCCACTGGGATCTGATTTGTTCTCTCCCACAGTAGGTTGTTGCTAATAGTGTCTGGCCAACGGATTCTAAGTATTCTCCATAGACAACTGTTAATAAACACCTGTATCTTCTGGATGACGGATTTCGTGGTTGCATTGAAAATTCTGACCTTGGTGTTGGTTGCCAATTGTTTTGAGTTCCAGATATTCTTCAGTTGTAAATATGTTGCTCTTGCTTTGCCAATCCGTGCCTTCACATCTGCATCAGATCCACCGTGTTCATCAATGATGCTGCCCAAATATGTAAAGGTTTTTACATCTTCCAAATCTTCTCCGTCAATTATGATTGGATTGGTGCATGCTGTGTTGTATCGAAGAATCTTGCTTTTCTCCTTGTGTATATTGATACTTATTGCTGCTGAGGCTGCTGCTACACTGGTCGTCTTCTCCTACGTTTGTTGTTGTGTGTGCGATAGAAGAGCCATATCATCTGCGAAGTCTAGATCGACCAGCTGCATCCTAGCTATCCACTGTATCCCGTTCTTCTCTTCAGATATTGACGTCTTCATGATCCAGTCGATCACCAGGAGAAAGAGAAAGGGTGAGAGTAAGCAACCTTGCCTGACACCGTTCTTTACTTCGAACGACTTTGTCAACTGTCTTCCATGAACGATTTTGCAGTTTAATCCATTGTAGGAATTCCGAATGATATTGACTATCTTCTCAGGCACACCGTAGTGTCGAAGAAGCTTCCATAGGGTTGTTCTGTCTACGCTGTCAAATGCTTTTTCGTAGTCAATGAAGTTGATATAGAGTGATGAATTCCATTCAATTGATTGTTCCACAATGATCCGTAGAGTTGTGATTTGATCTGTGCACGATCTACCCTTACGGAATCCTGCCTGTTGGTCACGAAGTTGGGCGTCTACGGAGTCCTTCATCCTGTTTAACAATACCCTGTTGAAGACTTTTCCTGGTATTGAAAGAAGAGTGATTTCCCTGTAGTTGTCACAGTTGCTGAGATCACCTTTCTTTGGTATTTTGACCACAAGTCCTTCTTTCCAGTCTTTTGTTACTTGTTCCTCATCCCAAATCTTTCTGAAGAGAATGTGGAGTATCCTTGCAGTTACCGCTACGTCTGCTTTCAGTGCCTCTGTTAGAATGTTGTCTGGCCCTGCTGTTTTGCCACACTTGATTTGTCTGATAGCCATGCTGATTTCATCAATTGTTGATGGGCCAACATCGATTGGGAGGTCCGTGAGTGCTGCTTCGATGTTGGGTGGGTTCAGTGGGGCTGGTCGGTTCAAGAGTTCTTTGAAGTGTTCTACCCACCTGTTCCGTTGTTCTTCAATGTTGGTGATTATCTTGCCTTCCTTGTTTTTCACTGGTTGTTCTGGTTTACGGTAATCTCCAGAGAGTTTCTTTGCTGTTTCATAATGTTGTCTCATGTTTCCTTCTCTGGCAGCCTTTTCCGCCGTCATTGCTAAATCTTCCACATATTTACGTTTGTCAGTTCTGGATGCTCCTTTTCACTTGCTTGTTTACTTCTGTGTATTCAGCCTGTGCCTTGACTTTTTCTGCTCTTGTTCGACTGGTATTGATTGCTGCTTTCTTGTTCCTCCTTTCTTGAATCTTATCCAGTGTATCGACCGTGATCCAATCCTTGTGATTGTGGTTCTTTTGGCCCAGAACCTCATGACATGTTGAAGTGATTGCTTCTTTTATCTCTTTCCAGTTGCTCTCCATAGTAGTTTCTTCTCCATTGAGTAGATCATGAAAGGCTTGGAACTTATTGCTAAGGGTTATCTTGAATTTGTTGAGTTTGTCATTATCCCGAAGAAGAGTCGTATTAAATTTTTGTGATATTGTCCTCCCCATTGTCCAGTGCTTCTTGAGTTTCAATTTCATCTTGACGACTAGCAAGTAATGATCTGATGCTATATCAGCTCCTCTCTCTGTTCTCACGTCCTCCATCGTCCTCCTGGACCTTTCGTTGATGCAGATATGGTCGATTGGTTTTGCGTAGTGTGACCCGGTAAAGTCCATGTGGTTTTGTGTATGCGTTTATGTTGGAATATAGTCCCGCCTATGACCAGTTTTTTGAAGGCACATAGGTTTGCAAATCTCTCACAATTTTTGTTCCTTTCTCCCAATCCGTGTCGTCCCATGATCTCTTCATATCCGGTGTTGTCAATTCCAACCTTGGCATTAAGGTCTCCCATCAGGATAGTCAGGTCCTCTGTTGGGCACTTCTCGACGATTGACTGCAGCCTATCGTAGAATTGATCTTTAGCATCTTCATTGTAGTCGTTGGTAGGCGCGTAGCATTGGATGATGTTCATTGTAATGCCCGTTTTCTTTGTTTTGAAGGAGGCTTTGATGATTCTTGGTCCATGAGATTCCCATCTTATAAGTGCATTTTGTGCTTGTTTGGACAGCATCAATGCAACTCCTTGTGTATGTGGAGCATTTTCTTGTTCATGTCCGGAGTATAACAGCAGCTCCCCTGAAGCTAGTCGTTGTTGTCCAACTTGCGTCCAATGTGTTTCACTGATCCCAAGCACCTCTAAATTGTATCTCCTTATTTCTGCAACAATTTGAAAAACTCTCCCAGTCTCCCACATTGTGCGAGCACTCCATGTACCTAAATAAATGGTTGCTCTGGTTGTCAGAAGGGGCATCGGCCTCGTGACTTCCGAAGGAGCTCGGCTTTCATCATGAGGCGTCATAATTCTTCTAAACGAAGACCTTCTGACTCCCAGGGCAGAGTTTAAATGGTTTGAATAATTTTTTTCTGGTTAGCGTTTTTTTAGCGAGTTAGTTTTCTACGGGATGGGGTCGCTAACCCCATGCCCAACCCTCCTCCTTTATCCGGGCTTGGGACCGGCAGTAGCCCCCGGAGGGACTCCAGGCGGAGTTATTCAGTACTTTAGGTCGATTATCATATGAAGCAGTAAGTGATTTGTGAACGTAATTTCGTTTATAAACTATTATACCCATACACTTTGATGGAACGAAACTGAATGAATTAATTTTGATTTATCGCTATAGTGAAAGTAATGATCTTAATTTAAGATGAATGAAAGATAGTGTATGCAAAACTGAGAACAGCCACATCTACATTTTATATAACTGTGAACTAAACTTAGTAATGATAGGAAGAATGTAACTGGGAAGAACAATGATTAAATATAAAAACAAAAGATCATTAAAAATATGTGCAATACATGAAATAAAATCTTTTTATTGAGTCTTTTAAATGTTTTCCCACGTTCATTTAGGTGAATGAAATAATATATAGAAACGACTTATTAAAACTAACTTTATAATTTGAATGAGTGACCTATATATGTGGTATGGACAATAATCTTAAGTATCATATTCGAAATAAAGAGAAATAGCGAAATATGAGTTTTGTTAACGGTTCTGTATAAAATTTAATAATCAATTCGTCACGTATTTTAACTTTTACCACTGTCGTAAAATAACGTACAGGTATAGCTGGGTTAGCCCTATAACAACTAAGTCAAAATAAGACATCAGTCTATGAAGTTTTCATCTGTATTATATAGTTATCTTCTATATTCAAGATTTCCATAAAACACTCTGGGGTTCATCAATAGTCAACGCTAGCATTCAGACACATAAAGAATGCTTTTCATTTTATCCTTCTCTGTATATTCTACTTCACTTATTTGTTTTTAATGAAATAAAATATATAAGCGAACAATATTGTTTTCGATTAGATCATCATCAGGCTTTACTCCAATATACAGTAATATTTATATGCATATACAAAATTATTAAAACAATCAAGGTAGTTTAGAGTCAATGATAACAATGGAAAAGGTTACATAATAAGTGAAAAGTACAAATTAATAGTTTGATGACAGGTGAACTAGTTTTTATAAGAACAATAAAGGCTCAAATCAATGTTACATAATCGGAAATAGGTCAATGATTAGAAAAATATAGATAGTGAGATAACATTTATAAAATTATAAGATGATGTAATAAGAAATGTTCAGATAATTGAACCGTGAAACGTATATTTGAGAGAAAATAAAATAAAATGGTAGGAGGAGATGAAGAAAGATAATAAATAAAGAGAAAGTTTGAAAAAATAAATAAATTCATTTCTTAAGGCCAAGGGAGAGATAAAGGTGTTAAAAATTTCTTCTGAGCACAAAGACATGGCTTGTTGGCTGGAATTCCTATAGCTTCTGCTATGTGTAAGAGACGAGATCGAACACCATAAGGAAAACTAGTGGGAATACGATAAATAACTTTAAATGACTTGTTTCTATCCACTATATGACCGCTATCGATCAAGTGTGATAGAACCGAGCTGCGTATTGTCTTGACATTACCTTTTCCTAACCACGAACGGAGGTGTTCACTAACTCTGGTTCAATTGTCTGGTAGTGCGCCCAATATAGCTTTCTCCACAGGAGCAGCTGGATTCGTAGATACGCATAGAAGTGGCATAACCAGCTATCATATCCTTCAATTGGGGAATCACCATAGTACACCTGTTATCACACTATTAATTTGTACTTTTCACTTATTATGTAATCGTTTTCATTGTTATCATTGACTCATAAACTACCTTGATTGGTTTAATAATTTCGTATATGCAAAAAACGAAATTATTACTGCATATTAGAGTAAAGCCTGATGAGGATCTAATGGAAAACTATTGTTCGCTTATATATGTTGTTCTAAACTTACAATATGGGGAATATTTCAAATTTTAATGAAATAGCTGAGTGTTATATGTGATATGTTTGATATTTAACGATCATCATCAAAGGTCTCTTAACATTCTTTATAAATCCAGTAAGAGTCAATTAGTTAGAAAGGCTAGGAGATACGTTTAAACAAAACTAAGTAAAATTTTTATTGGCGCTAATTCATTGGGGTTCGATAAAGTTATTAAGTAATTTCATAGAGTAAATTATAATGACAAAATGTTACAAAATACCAGTTAAATTTACATGCATTTTATCCCTGTGTTCTGTCCAAAATGTAACCGGTTGTTCTCGAACCATTTCATGAAGCTGAAAATTTGAGATTTAGAGAAAATGAAGGTGGGCAATGTTGAGATTAAAGGGGATAAACATTGTTATTGTTATTATTCACAGTCTTATCGAGAAATCAGATTATTATTAGTGTTCATCTGATAAACTCTTTCTTAGTATTTAAAGCATTTATCAAATTGTTACAATTTATAGTATAAGTTGAGTAAACCATTAAATCTGCATTCGAATCTTTATTTAGAGTGTTCTAACTCTAAGAAAATTTTGATGAACAGAGAACAAACTTATTCGAATAGGTCCTTGAGATCAAGAAGTTTCATCAACATTGACTCTAAAAAATCCTTGTTTCGAAAGTGTAACAGTAGGCGCTCAATATTTATCCTTAGGAAAGTTCTTATTGGAGCGTTGATTAGGGGCACTTCGCAAATTTTATAAAGAATTACAAAGAGTTAGAAACCACCGCTACGAAACGTGGTTGCTCGTACATTCTAATCAAAAATAATTTATACTACTGAAAAATGATAAGTAGCTAAACAGTGACTAAAATGATTTTAGATGTATTCTGCTCCTCACTCGAAAGAAAATAAGTAAAAACCACTCTGACCTTCAATGATTTATTGATCTGAAGGATTCTTTTCTGAGATAATAGCCATAAAGAAAAGTATCGAAATATCTATATAAAATCCTGAGATTGCAAATCGTAAGAGATCTCATAACACCAACTCAGTTAATTCCATAAACCTGAATTATCCATATATCTAGGACGCAGTAGTTACAGTTACTGGTTACGTGGATTTGTAACACTCTGTATGATCTCATTAGCAAAGAATCTTCTGAGATAACTGGAACTTAAAGTGTATTAGTTAGGTAAGAGATGTGTAAACCTAAATTATCGTGAGCTGAAATTAAGTCCCAAAAAGTAAATATATTAAAACTTCCCGAGTGACTTATAAGTTGATCAACTATAATACTTTAGCCTGTCGGTATGGAGGATATATCGATGAAGATTGGGAATAATCTCATGTTAGCTTTTTCATTCAACTTAGATTTATTGCATAGTAACATTAGGTTTCTTACGAAACTAAGCTGTGTATCTTGAAGAATCATCTAGGATAGGTGAATTTGACTTCTTGTTTTTGAATACTCATTTTTGTACCTCAAATGTTAAAAAGTATTACGAATATATGGCATCCGCCGTAACAACGCATGAAACAATTGGCCCTCAAACCAATAAACAAATCTTACTTTGCATTTTTTTGAACTTATGGATATATTTGTTGACTGTCATATTCTGTATAAAATATTCTTTGTGACTAAAGTTCCACTTTAGTTTAATAGTTTCATGAGTCAATCAATCAAATGATAAATTACGCTATGAAAAGATGCGAGTTTACAACTTTTGATGTAAACATTTAGTCGATTTGGTCCAGCTAACTTAGATGTGGACGTAACTCAGGCTGTTTACTAGTATATGACTAGTAATGCTCATATCTCACGCGTAATAAGGTGCGAATCAATTACAGGCCTAAAATTGTTATCGGTATTTCATACTAATATTAGATTTTAGCTTGAAACTCCATTCTTTCACACAATTTTCAAGCGCACTTCAAACGGTACCAATTTAGAATAGGAAATATAATGCAACCTCATTGTGATAAAGGCAATATTTAACCTTGTGTGCTTCCATAAAAAATGTCTTGACGAGTGAAGTTTACCTAAAGTAGGGGAACTTAAAACATTTTCTCAAGCAGTCCTTTAAGGGTTTCCAGTAACACTAGAAACATGCTGATTCGGAAGGTTTGTCAAAAATATTGTCTCATTCCGAATACAATTAGTGTCTATGAACATATGAAAATCAGTTTGTGATAGACTGAGTAAAGCTTGGATGACTGTAAAATGTTACTGTCATCGGTAGAATTTCAAGATATAAAGGTATGAATTTTATTTTGTAAAGGTAAATAAATCCTTAAAATCAATAACCCTGTAAGTCTTCGACATTTGATACTGACCGCATTAGTTTTAATGAACTCACCTAACTGTGTGCACTCGGCCATGCATCCGCACCAGGTCACGATTGGGTACGCCGTGCTTCATATCTCCTACAAGCGCTAGCCAGCTTGGATTGATCACTTCTCGATATATGGATAGCTTATCAAATATATCTTAGAACCTCTTCACTTTTGACGTCTGACCTGACTGTTCTGACAAATTTTGATTATGAAAGGTGTTACTGGTTAAGGCGTCCTCAAACTCTAAATACTTGTGGCACCCTTGATTTTCAATTCAAGCGGCAAACTCCACTATGGGTAGCGCTAATTTATTATATGTGCTGAACTAATAGGTTAGTTTATTGAAGGTTTCTACCGTACCAGTTTGATGAAAAAATATCATTCGTGCGTCATGGTCACTTTACCAGGCATTCAAGTGTTTTGACTAGGAAATGTTACAAGTTTCGTGTTCCAACTATGTGAGACCACACCTAGAGTACTGTGTTCAAGCAGCCGATCCATTTCTTGTTAAGAATACCAACACACTCGAGGGTGCTCAGCATGTTGGTGCAAAGTTGGTAAAGAATAGCTCGAAACTCCTTTACGACGGACGTTTAAAACGCATGGACCATTCCCCCTTATAGTACCATAAAAAGCGAGGCGACCTTTTATTGAAATTTCATATCTTTAATAACAATTATGGTGTTAATATATCTTTTTTCTCCCTCCAAAACCAATCATCTCCGAAACCACAGCAAGAAGGTTCAAAAACCGCGATTTCATAAACTTAGAATGGAGTTTCGTTTTTCTCATCGAGTAGTCTATAACTAAAACGCCTTACCTGAATAAGTTGTATCATCCCCATTAGTGAATATTTTCAAGAGGCCGGACGTCCGCTGGAAAACAAGCTGCAAGGATTGACACAAGCCGACCAACTTCTTATCCCTATCACTGAAGATCGAATTGGTTTGTTAGGGTCTCAGGGTCAAGACATAGAAGTTTGTAAAGATTCAAAGCGGCTACAGTACGCATTAGCTTGAGTGAAGTATGAGGGTTGATGAAATGACAACTACGTTGAGGACGAAACTGTTAATATAATCTATTATATATAATAGGTCATAAGGACAGGAGATGACGTGTTCAGATGGTTCTGAACGGAATATAAGAAGCTAAGGCTTAACTAGCTTTCGCATTTAGTGGTAGTGGATCACCAGTGCTGCCAGGTAAAAACCTTAACTGTGGTGTTTGTATGAACTAATGATTCATTTGTACTTGATGACTGCTTGATTTCGAATTCCAAATACAACATGTTTGCCTAGTTCTATTTACTGTAACTTGCGCCATTTCGCGAATCCATAGTCCATATAATAATTCAAATACTTCTAATTGTCACACTTAGCATATTTAATGGTAAAAGAAAAAATATTAGTAAATCATGTGGACCATATATGTAACTTAACAAGAGAATACCCTTTATTTGCAAGATTTGTTGCATATGCAATGAAATATCTCGCTGTGTAAAATAATAAGGCTTGAAAATTTCTGCAAATCCCTTGGATATGTTACAGGTCATAGGTGTAAATACGTTTAATTAAAGGTTTATAAACGCTTCCTAATCTCCCAAGTTTGGGGAAATTTGGGGAAATCCCCCCTTCACTAAGGTTTGAGAAGAACTTTGGGGATATATTGGGGAATTTCCCCAGGTCTGGGGAAATTTTGTGGTTTCAGTGCCATTTCCCCGAAATTGGGAGCTTGGGCTGAAATAAATAATTCTTGGCTCAGTTTGGACAGACCTACCATTGGTTCAGGCCTGGGAGGTAACTGGACTACGTCTTTATGAAAATCAATTTTGGTCACTGATCTGTAATCCACAGGCTCATATTTTGCCATAAATTCTTGTTCAACTTCCCTCCTATGTTCCATATTCTTGAAACAACAACGAATCCACAATACCTTATTTTTTTGTACAATTCAACATCTTTTCGTTTTATCTCTGGGTAAAATATACATCACAAACGGAAAAAATTCTCACCATATTCATCCTCTATGTTAAGTGTCATGTTTAAACCACCCTCTGGTAACTTCTGGTGTCATAACAACAATAAATAAAATATAAAGATGATCCAAGTGATCATAAATAATATGAATCAGATTCTACCTAATGGGCTGTCGAACAAACATACACCATAAATTACAAATACTAACATACATAAGTCCAGATTGAAGAAAAGATGAGAAACTCAAATTGTTCAAGTGGTTGTGGCAGGATAGAAGAAACCTTGGGTTGATGAACTTACAAGTCTACTAGCAGTAAACCGCTGATTACTCTGTGTACGGACCTAGGTATATGAGGCAAGCAGAATAGAGGTGTTGGTGAATTGGCGTGATATACCAACTATACTAGTGGGAGGGACGGAATACAATTAGCCATCCCATAATAACCAATAATTAATCAGCGAAAATAAAATCCTTGTAAGATCTATCTTTGTATTATCATATGCATATATGGAGCGAATCCCCCATATATGTGTTTTCCTGTGACTAGTCCTTTGTATTTCTGTAGTATGTTGTAGCGCCCTTAATCTGACTCCATTTAGATCGTATGATTGATTGCTATAGAAATATATATGTCATCAATCCTCGTATATAATTATCCACTTAACTGGAGTTAGTGAATGACGGAATTAAATAAGTCAAACAAGAGAACGGATTTCGAAAGCATATATTTCATACAATCGCTGATCAAAACAAATGATCGGAGAAGCGAAGCCAGATATCGAGCGGTAAAGAAGGCATGTTAGCCAACTCCATTTAATCAGGCGTTAATCGATATTTATAGTCACACAAAAATAATTTACAGGCACGTGATGAGTAAGACAGGAAATGCACACAGATATGCTCATATAAAAACAGTCGAGGTTGACAAGCGAATAATTAACGTCAAAATGTGACTCAAGAAGAATGAATAGATTGGTCTGTCCAGAAGCTAGAATGACCTATGGGTGATCGACATGGTACCAGCCCCTACAGTGCAGTTTTTATCGTTGTCTGTATTTTTTATGTTGATTCCTATTCTTGGAACTGAATGCAATTTTTAAAATGTTGTTTACGAATTTCACATAGTGATTATATATCCTAGATGTTGTTGAATCTTTTAGTAACCGTTTTGGCTTTATTTTCCTAAGGACTGGTTAAATGAGCTCGCTGTACTAGACCGTTATGCTTTAGTTGATACTTTGTAAACTGTCAGCCTCTGTTTCGTGAGACTGACTTCTCAACACGTCTCCCATTTGATTTTAGGAATGTTTGATGTCACTCACTAGTGACTGATTGTATAACCATTTAGTCCTTGTAGGTAACCATTGTTACCACTTTTAATTGACTTATATTCCTTCTTATAGTCTTACTCCTGGATATCCTCTACATCATCCTGAATATATGTCGCCTCGTTATAAAGACGTTATTGACTCTTATCGTTTTTTGTATTCTCGAGCTTGGTAGGGCATGGCCGAAACCTTAATACTGGGATAGATATGTAGAATTATGGTCTACTATGATATTACTTACTTACCGCGCAATCGACTGCCTAATACCGATCGAACTGCATCTTTGAGGCCTGTTACCCATCAACTGGTTAGGACAACACAAAAGAACATCAGCACCAAATTAGTGTGAGTCTATCCTTGTTTATTGCTTATTTGCTTTTTACTCTACTGCACACCATGTTGACTAGCAATTAATATTATTCCTCCACTCGTTACCTAATCTACAACCCATATACTTCTATACTTTTCCGCCCGTTTTATTAAACCACTATCCTACATTACACCCCTCTTAATGCTTATACTTTAATAGGCAAACTATACTTTATACTATAGTCAATTAAAGCACTGCATCGATGCCTTACCCACAGTTCATAATTTGTAACTGCCTGATATGCTTGTAAAATGGTACTTATAGAAATAGTGTTTTCCAACAGATTGTGAAACAGAGGATTGTGTGAGGTATGATATATATCCAAGAATAAGCTTAAATGAGCCTAACATCACAAAAGGAGGGAGGGTGGAGTTACTGACCAGCAAGCATTGATGGTGAGGGCGATGACTTCAATCCACCCGTGTTTGTGGGGCAGAACATTTTGTATGTATCAGGCTCTCTATGATTGAGCATAAGTCAATCAATCTGTGATATAGATTATCTTCCTACGCTCACCACTCAGACTCATGTTTCCAATTTTATACTGGAGTAGCTATTCTACTATGACAACCTATAACATGCTAACTCGGACTTTTACACATGGATTGTGTGGCTGGCATCGGATGAAAAAAAAAAGAAAGAAAATATCAGACAACAAAAGATATAGTCATTAATATTTTCAACACTTCACCCTTTATATGCACACTCCCTTCTAATAAACAACTTTCCCTGTACCAACCTTAACTTCCCTTCCTTCATATGAGCTTAATCCAACTTGTTAAACATCACAATTTATTGTTCTTTATTACTACATTCTCTTGAATGGAGCCTCTGACTTTATTTCACTCTAACAAGAGATAATATGAATTTAATCTAATTTATTATACCTTTGTCCGTTCTACGTAATGTTAAGCAACGTTTGGAGTCCATATCCAAGTGCCTTGTTGCTCTGCTGTTTCTCTTTTTTATTTTCTTCAGAATCTTGCTCCGAGGGCACAGCTATGAAACTTCTAACGTCTGGAACAAACTTGACGTAAGCGTCAACCCACGGCCATAGTTTATAACAAGCGCTCTACGAGTGTACTTTATAACAACTATAAACTTAATAAGTTAGGAAGCATGCTATGCTCCAACTAATGTTATAATTTGTAGATCATGCCTGTAAAAATGGCGTGTACCTGCTCATGCAGAAATATATTATTATTATTATTATTACTTACGCCTGTTACTCCCAATGGAGCATAGGCCGCTGACCAGCATTCTCCAACTCACTCTGTCCTGGGCCTTCTTTTCTAGTTCCATCCAATTCTTGTTCATTTTTCTCATATCTATCTCCATTTCCCAGCGTAATGTATTCTTTGGTCTTCCTCTCTTCCTTCGACCTTGAGGATTCCATATGAGGGCTTGTCTTGTGACGCAGTTCGGTGCTTTCCTCAATGTGTGTCCTATCCACTTCCAGCGCTTCTTCCTGATTTCTTCCTCCACTGGGATCTGATTTGTTCTCTCCCACAGTAGGTTGTTGCTTATAGTGTCCGGCCGGCGGATCTGAAGTATTTTGCGTAGACAATTGTTAATAAACACCTGTATCTTTTGGACGATGGATTTCGTAGTTTTCCAGGTTTCCGCCCCATACAGTAGAACTGTCTTGACATTTGTATTGAAAATTCTGACTTTGGTGTTGGTTGACAGTTGTTTTGAGTTGCAGATGTTCTTCAGTTGTAAATATGTTGCTCTTGCTTTGCCAATCCGTGCCTTCACATCTGCATCAGATCCACCGTGTTCATCAATGATGCTGCCCAAATATGTAAAGGTTTTTACATCTTCCAAATCTTCTCCGTCAATTATGATTGGATTGGTGCATGCTGTGTTGTATCGAAGAATCTTGCTTTTCTCCTTGTGTATATTGATACTTATTGCTGCTGAGGCTGCTGCTACACTGGTCGTCTTCTCCTACGTTTGTTGTTGTGTGTGCGATAGAAGAGCCATATCATCTGCGAAGTCTAGATCGACCAGCTGCATCCTAGCTATCCACTGTATCCCGTTCTTCTCTTCAGATATTGACGTCTTCATGATCCAGTCGATCACCAGGAGAAAGAGAAAGGGTGAGAGTAAGCAACCTTGCCTGACACCGTTCTTTACTTCGAACGACTTTGTCAACTGTCTTCCATGAACGATTTTGCAGTTTAATCCATTGTAGGAATTCCGAATGATATTGACTATCTTCTCAGGCACACCGTAGTGTCGAAGAAGCTTCCATAGGGTTGTTCTGTCTACGCTGTCAAATGCTTTTTCGTAGTCAATGAAGTTGATATAGAGTGATGAATTCCATTCAATTGATTGTTCCACAATGATCCGTAGAGTTGTGATTTGATCTGTGCACGATCTACCCTTACGGAATCCTGCCTGTTGGTCACGAAGTTGGGCGTCTACGGAGTCCTTCATCCTGTTTAACAATACCCTGTTGAAGACTTTTCCTGGTATTGAAAGAAGAGTGATTTCCCTGTAGTTGTCACAGTTGCTGAGATCACCTTTCTTTGGTATTTTGACCACAAGTCCTTCTTTCCAGTCTTTTGTTACTTGTTCCTCATCCCAAATCTTTCTGAAGAGAATGTGGAGTATCCTTGCAGTTACCGCTACGTCTGCTTTCAGTGCCTCTGTTAGAATGTTGTCTGGCCCTGCTGTTTTGCCACACTTGATTTGTCTGATAGCCATGCTGATTTCATCAATTGTTGATGGGCCAACATCGATTGGGAGGTCCGTGAGTGCTGCTTCGATGTTGGGTGGGTTCAGTGGGGCTGGTCGGTTCAAGAGTTCTTTGAAGTGTTCTACCCACCTGTTCCGTTGTTCTTCAATGTTGGTGATTATCTTGCCTTCCTTGTTTTTCACTGGTTGTTCTGGTTTACGGTAATCTCCAGAGAGTTTCTTTGCTGTTTCATAATGTTGTCTCATGTTTCCTTCTCTGGCAGCCTTTTCCGCCGTCATTGCTAAATCTTCCACATATTTACGTTTGTCAGTTCTGATGCTCCTCTTCACTTGCTTGTCTACTTCTGTGTATTCAGCCTGTGCCTTGGCTTTTTCTGCTCTTGTTCGACTGGTATTGATTGCTGCTTTCTTGTTCCTCCTTTCTTGAATCTTATCCAGTGTATCGACCGTGATCCAATCCTTGTGATTGTGGTTCTTTTGGCCCAGAACCTCATGACATGTTGAAGTGATTGCTTCTTTTATCTCTTTCCAGTTGCTCTCCATAGTAGTTTCTTCTCCATTGAGTAGATCATGAAAGGCTTGGAACTTATTGCTAAGGGTTATCTTGAATTTGTTGAGTTTGTCATTATCCCGAAGAAGAGTCGTATTAAATTTTTGTGATATTGTCCTCCCCATTGT